GAAACGGGGGGTGGCCCGGGGGGGGGGGGCCGCCAAGTCGGAGGACACGAGCGAGGAGGATTTCCTGGAGGAGGCGGCGGAGGAGGACGGGGGCAGCGACGGGATGGGGGGGGACGGCAGCGAGTTTCTGCAGCGGGACTTCTCGGAGACCTACGAGCGGTACCATGTGGAGAGCCTGCAGAACATGAGCAAGCAGGAGCTGGTGAAGGAGTACCTGGAGCTGGAGAAATGCCTCTCCCGCATGGAGGAGGAGAACAACCGGCTGAGGATGGAGAGTAAAAAACACGGGGGGGAGGCGGCGGAGACGCGGGTGAGGCAGCTGCAGCTGGAGGTGGACAGGTTGCGAGCCGAGAACCTGCGGCTGCTGAAGGAGAGGGCGCCGCCGGGGCGGGAGCAGAGCCCCTGCCCGCTGGGGGAGGGAAAAAAAAAAAAAAAAAAAAAAAAAAAAAAAAAAAAAAAAAAAAAAAATAGAGAGGTCTAATAAATTTAATTACTTGTAACTGTAACGGTTTCGGTGTGATTTCTAGAAAATATTCAGGATGGCATTCCCGAAGGGAATACGTTTGGAATTATTTTCCTGGTGTTATAACTGGTCTGTGGCGTCGCTCGATTAAAATCGGCTCCGATTCCCGACTTAGCCCTTTTTTGTTATCCCCCCCCCTCCTTCTTTTCCACTCGATGAGCTGAAATAGTTAAAAAAATCCCTGGAAAGAGGGGAAACCGCTCCGAATATCGCGTCCGTAACGGGCCCCCGCTCAAGGTACCAATAAGCTGAAGTGGATCTGTTTGCCTAAAGGCTCGGTGAAACTCAACCCTTCCCTCCCAGGGCCGGCGGAGCCCAGGTCGGTCAGCGGAAATCGGGGCCAAAGCACGTAAAAAAGGTACTTTAAGCTGCAAGTGATGGCGGGGGGGAGAAAAAAAACCACTTAAAGTTCTGGAGCAGGCCAGGGAAAAGTTTTGGTAGTCAGCACTTGGCCTCTGAAATGGCTGACGAGGGAGCGAAGGCGGCGGCCGAGCCTCGCGTTGCCCTGCTGCTGCACCTGGGCGGGGAGGGAGGAGAAAAAGGCAGGAGAAGGTGCGGGGTCTGGGGGTTTTGGGGGGAAAAAACCCGGGAAATGGAAAGGCAAAGTAACGCGGGGCCTGAGGCCGCTCTGGTCGGTGGCCGGGGTCAGGATTAGCGTGTGCGAACGCAGCGGTACCTGGGGACGGGCTGGGGTAGCCCCCCCGCAGGCTACGGCGGGGCAAAACCCCACCTTTCAGGGGAGAAAAAGCTGGATCTGGGGAGGAGGAGAGGGCCGGGGTGGGCAGCGCGGGCGGGCTGGGGCAATCGGGGAGGCCGAGGCAGCTGCGGCCGAGGGCCTCGGCTTCAAGGCTCGCCCCCGAGGTTTTAACTCGCGCCTGGCAAAGAACCATCTGCGGCGGGGCGTACGCCGGCGGCGGCGGGGGGCGGGAAAACACACACTG